CCGTCATAGCCATCGGATGCAGGGCGATGTCTCAGCCTTACGGGCGCTCATCGAGGATGGCCATGAGGCAACGATGGAGAACCATGGGAAGACCGAGATCATTGGGTGAAGATATGCGATATGCACGAAACCGCAAGAGGCCAAGAAAATTCAGATTTGGTGTGTTGATTTTGAGTATTGATCATTCAGTTTTGTGAATACTTTTGATTCCATACGAATGTAACAACGAAAACACAAAAGAATCCACGTTCTAAACCTATGGAACGCACGCATATGAAATACGAACAAACTATAAATATGTATACATGTAGGGGTAAACATATTTGTCTGCAAATTTGGTTTACATGAGGTTTCATGTTATTTTTTGAGAGGTTCCATCGATTCCCATGCTTCCACAAGATTCAAACCCTCCTGCATTGGCTCCCGACTGCGTTGCAGATGGATTTTGCGCCTGTCACCAAGAACACCTGCACTACATTGACGAGAGCGATCGAGGTAGGGCCTCCTGTTGCTCACGATTTCCGTTTCACAATTTCCTTGTTTCACAATTTCCAAGTGCCAATTGGAAATGGTTTGTGTAGCCTGAAGGCCCACAAGATGCATGCATTGCCACATGGTGCTCTATAAGATTTAGTGTCAGCAGATATGATGAGAGAATCTAAAACGACTTTTCTTTGCGGCTTGCAAGCCATTCGTTGGGTATTCGATCGTGCAATTGGTGTGGCTTCCAGAGTTGAGTCAATGCTGATAGTGAATCTCTAATTTTAGTTTTTTTTTCCCCTGATTTTCTTTCACAATCAGTACTCAACTAGTGAATCTCCAATGAGTTTCCTTTTTTTTCTGTCAATAGTGAATCAGTGAATCTCCAATGAATCTCCAATGAATTTCTCGGGTTTTTCTGTTTAGTTCTGCGCCAGATGAAACAGACAGAGATCGTTCACCTTCTCGTAGAACTTGGCGCCAGTGACTTGGCCGATGTGCCCTGGGATGGCCCATGGGGCAGATGGCCACTGGCCACCATCAATGGCGAAGGGCACCGCAATGGGTGATCAGTCTTACCTTACTGATACTGCTAACATCCTAAAGTGGGGTCTGAGTCTGATACCTCCAGAAATGAAATGCCATTTGTCAACCATATCCAGTAAGCATATCAAGATATCAACGAGTAGAACATAGTAGAACCAATGTTGAAACCACATTTTGAATAACAATAACAAGGCCAAGAATTGCATATCTCGATTGATTTGCCTGGATTTGCCATGGCCGTGGATGTCCAGAAAGGTTGCCATGGGGGTTCTTTGTGTTTTTTTGTCCCCGGGTCCCGCAGATGTCAACTTCGCGGACAGCCTGGAGCTTGGGCGTCGGCAAACGGTGGAATAAAGATAATAATGCTTTGGGGGTTATACACGAAGTTCATTGACATTTTGGAAAACCATGCGTTTTTTTTCAATAATTTGTTTTGACACAAAAACCGAAGAAACTGGAGTTTGTTTCTTGGGTTTGCCGGGATAGCTTTCTTTGGCTGGTTTTTGCTTGAGAGTGGTAGATGGTTTTGGCTCCAAAGTCTTGAGACATACCAACATGCTTGGATTACTGGGTTTAAAGTTTGAACCACATCCTTTTTTTCATGGTTTTGACAAAAAAATAAAGGACCGGATAACCAACATGTCAACTTCTTCCAACAAGCAGCAAAAGAAAGGTAAAGATGGCATGGGAAATGCAGGAAAGAGAAAAGAGATGGTGAAGGATTGGCGTGTGCAACAAGGAACCCGTGTGTGAGTAAGTTGTGTGTGATGTGTGTGTGTGTGTGACACATCTGTAAAGATGTAAAACCTCTATTAATATATATAAGCGCGGGGCACGGCGCCATTTGTCCTAGCCGTGCCAATGAAGCTGCGGACATTTGGTGGATGAGATACTGGACGCAGTATCTTGTACCTGCACGTGGTGATTCTATCCGTCTCGCCACGAAATGGAACTGTAATGATGCACCTGGATGCTGTTGCATAGCTGGTGGTCACATCATTTGGTGATTCTGTCCGTCTCGCCAAGAAAAAGGAACCGTAGTGACGCACCTGGATGCTGTTGCATAGCTGGTGGTCACATCATTTTGGTGATTCTTTCCGTCTCGCCACAAAATGGAACCGGTTTCACAGTGTCTGTCAGGTGTATAACGTCGTAGGTTAATGTGTTTCTCATCTAATCTGCATGTTTCAGGATTCAGTTCCTGCCGGATCATATAATGATCCATTCTTGTCTAGAGTCTAGTGTGATTCCTATGGTGACTCCGACATGGTGCCATAGGGCCATTTGAGGCAACCCCAGTTGGGGTCAATGTTGACTGACTTGACTTCCGAATTTACACATTTTAATCCAGTAATTCATTTAAGTAAAGTGTAACAGCTGCCCTTTCCGTTTTGCACCGTTTTTTGAGTGTCCCGCTGATCCTGCGGTCCCTGGTGAAACCTCGTGGAATACAACTCTGTGACTGAGAAGCCGTGCTGAACATTCAGAAACCTCCGTTTTTGCAGCAATTTCACAGTTTCACAGCGACATTTGGCAACACTACATGAAACTGGATCAGGCAGGCTCATGTCTTTCAGGTGTGGTCTTTTTCCTTTTGATGGTTGTCTGGTGAGGTGAAACATGTTGTGCACCTAATTCGCTGGACTTTGGAAGCTGTTATATGCCAATTGGGGCAAGACTTGACCACGGTCCCGGTGCAGGGAATAATCGCACGACCTTTAGGTTTAGGAACTGAATCCTGTTTTAATTTTTTGTGGTTTCATCAACTAATCCCCATTGGTCCCCTATCTCATGCGTTCTTCCCTCCCCAGGTAGGTTGGCTCCGTCGCGTGCTGAGGTGTTTGTAGGTGTTCGCTGTGTCAGGTTGGTTCAGGCGCTTTCGTCCTCCCCCCCCTCCGCTGGTCGTGTTCCGTGTCCGTCGACCCGCCGCTTTTCTTTTTCCCTTGCCCTTTCAGGGTTTGCCCGCTCCGGGCCAGGTGTGTGGTGTTGGTGTTCTCTCCTTCCTCTTTTGCGTTCCCCTCTTCGCGTTCTGGTTAAGTAACTCTTCATCTCATCTTCATGGTCATCTCACTTTCACTCCCCCTTCATCCTCATCTTCACCTCATCTTCCGCGGCACCACCCTGCCTAAGGCAGGGTGTGTGTGTGACACATCTGTACAGATGTAAAACCTCTATTAATATATATAAGCGGGGGGCACGGCGCCATTTGTCCTAGCCGTGCCAATGAAGCTGCGGACATTTGGTGGATGAGATACTGGACGCAGTATCTTGTACCTGCACGTGGTGATTCTATCCGTCTCGCCACGAAATGGAACCGTAATGATGCACCTGGATGCTGTTGCATAGCTGGTGGTCACATCATTTGGTGATTCTGTCCGTCTCGCCAAGAAAAAGGAACCGTAGTGACGCACCTGGATGCTGTTGCATAGCTGGTGGTCACATCATTTTGGTGATTCTTTCCGTCTCGCCACGAAATGGAACCGTAATGATGCACCTGGATGCTGTTGCATAGCTGGTGGTCACATCATTTGGTGATTCTGTCCGTCTCGCCATGAAATGGAACCGTAGTGACGCACCTGGATGCTGTTGCATAGCTGGTGGTCACATCATTTGGTGATTCTGTCCGTCTCGCCAAGAAAAAGGAACCGTAGTGACGCACCTGGATGCTGTTGCATAGCTGGTGGTCACATCATTTTGGTGATTCTTTCCGTCTCGCCACAAAATGGAACCGGTTTCACAGTGTCTGTCAGGTGTATAACGTCGTAGGTTAATGTGTTTCTCATCTAATCTGCATGTTTCAGGATTCAGTTCCTGCCGGATCATATAATGATCCATTCTTGTCTAGTGTGTGGACCATGAGCAACAAATGTTGTAGCGGGACGGGGAAGGAAGGAAAGACAAAGGAGGTGGTGAAGGATCGAGAAATTAAAAGAGTTGCGTGGGACAAAAGTTGTATGTGAAAGACCGTGTGTGACAAAGAAAGATGGTGTGTAAAAAGATGGTATGTATGTATGTATGCATGTATGTCTGTATGTAATGTTCTGCACTATGCAACCGCAAATTTTGCAAACTCTTTCTGCGTGCCTTGTGGCTGGTAATCATCCCTACCGGGAAGGAAGGAAAGACAAAGGAGGTGGTGAAGGATCGAAAAGTATGTGAAAGATGGTATGTGAGAAAGAAAGATGGTGTGTGAAAAGATGGTATGTATCTATGTATGTATGTATGCATGTATGTATGTATGCATGTATGGGCCGCAAGCACGCTTATTTTTTTCCCACGAGCGGAGGCGGCGGCGTGTGCGTGATGATAACGGAAAGGTACCTGGCCACATGAAAGATCGAAGGAAACAAGCAGAAACGCAAAGAATATTTTTGCAAAAACACCGAACATAGGAGTAGAAGCGACAGGTGAGGGGCACAGTTCACGGTGGATAAGCTGTGACCACTGCTTCCGAACATGATGTTCAGCAACGGCAGCATCTGCGCGATGAAGTCGGTACCTGGCAGAACAAAACAAAACAACGGGCTGTCATTCCTGTCAAGAAACGGTGACATTATCATGAAGACTGTCAGTTTCAGAACCACAGACTGATAACAGACACCTGAGCATAGTCAACTGCAACAGTACTAGCAAAGATCACGACGCACCAGAGTGCTGGATCTGTGCGATGAAGTCGGTACCTGGCAGCAAACGCTTTCACCAGACGTGCTGCTCGACAGCATCGTTCATGCGTGCGCACATGCAATGTCATTTGGCAGCCGTTTTTCTTCGGCACTAAGCGCGATATCAAAATTGTAGCAGCGACGTCCGATTTTCGCACGGCGCGGCAATCTCGTCGCGTACACCGCAGAGCCAAGAGCCGCTAGCAGCGACAAGGAATCTTCGCACGGCACAGCAATCCAGTCGCGTGCGCCGCAGGGCCGGTAACAGCGACGATAGATTTTCGCACGGCGTGTCAATCGCACGGCTGCTTCTTACGCGGCATCCTCAGTCATCGACGTCTCCTCCGGCGCTGTCTCCATGATGCTTGCAAGCCGCTTCATGGGAGTCCATGCCTGGTCGTAGGTCAGTGTTTGTGGGCTTTTGACCTCAGATTGATAGATCCGCAGCATGAAGTTCTTGACTCCCTCCACACGATGCGCTTCCACGGGCACGTGCCACAGCACGCTCCATTCGCCATCATCTGAGGTGTGAGCAAGCACCACGAAATGCGCCTCGCCCACGTTGCCTCGCAGCATCCATGCCACCGCCGATGCAGGGCTGCAACGCAGCTTCACCTGGCTCGGCACACTTGTGGCAGCCGGGGCAGACAATAAGAAATCCACGGAGTGCTTGACGCGCATGGCCGACGTGGACGTGTTGTCCTGCTGCAGAGCTTCCTCGTCGGGGAGCTGCACGTCATTAAGGCCACCAAGCATCTGACAAAGCTAGTTTCCACGTCATCCACCGAAATCAATCCAAGCTGGGCATCCCCCTGCAACGTATCCAATGGCGCCACTGGGCAACCGTTGTTCATCTGGCAATGGGACACTTTCCTGTTCAGGGCTTCAGGTGCGACAACAGCTTCAGCTCGGTTGGCACGCAGACAAGGCGTCAGGTGTCGACATTCCAACTCCAATGATTCTCCTGGAAGGTGAAGCGACACAGCCACGGCGCAGCGCAAAAGAGATCACGGAGTTGCGCACGCACCGGCTGCGTATCTTGGACTCCCTCGGGGAAGAGCAGCATCCATGTCAGCAGCCGCTCGCAGGACCAGCTCGTGGTAGAGGATGACAGCGCACTGGCAGTTGGAATCGGCCAAAGTCAACCGCAAAGCGAAGCGCCTCTCTGTGCCTTCGGTAGGGTGCACCTGGTCACAGGGTGAGATGACCCATACTTAAATAGTTCACAACCTGTCTATATATTGATGCGTGAGCACGCGTGCGCATGTGTGTGCGGCGATGTAAACGTGCACCACGCCTCGCACGGAGCTGCTTTCTTGCATTTGACACAAGAATCGATGAGCCAACTGATCGGTATCGCTCTTCACGGAGGAGATGCCAAGCACCTGCAGGCCCACCACCTCAAAGACCGTCTCCAACTTCCGCAGCTGTCCTGGTACTATAGCTCCCACCAAACTGCTCAGCGACGATGGCGTGGCCCTGCAACCGATCCAATCCTTCACAGGAATCTCCGTCAGCATGCGGCAATTGTCTTTGTGTGCCAGCTCGCCTTTCCTGACATCCGGTCAAAAGCAGCCACATGAAACAAAAAAAATCAAAACCCTAAAACGAAAATCAACCGTCTAAACAGCGCGCACACACACTGCGGCCCAAGCACAGCACTGCGGCCACTTCCGGCGAACACGGCAGGATCACGCCAGCTGCCGATTTCCCATGAGTTCTCGTCCTTGCGTTTGCTGATCAGAACCTGATAAAGCATGAGACAAGTGCCGGCCTCCTGCTCCGCCCGTTCCTGTGCCTGCTCATGCCAGAAAGAGCACCGGACGCGGGTTGCGCCCCGCTGCACAATGGCATTGCACACCATTGCCGGGCCATCAGCAAATCAGACCAGTTCACTCTGCCACACGCCACAGGGTTCAAATTGAAAACTAACACATCAGTTTTCGGACGGTGCTCGTTGAAGTATGTGCGCGTCAGCTCGGTCACCGTGACCATGCGCCGACCAAACACAATGTTCGGCGTGTCCAAGTGGTGCATGACAACTGGTCCATGAGCGCAGCGTTCCAGCAACAGCTCGCACGCTTCTCCCGCGTCGGCACCAGCTTCTGCCGTCAACTTGTAGTCATACGTCGCATACAGCTGCGCAAGCAACCGAAAAGGAGCAACGTAATCCCACTTCTGGTTGCCCAGCTGCACCAAGACATCATTCACCATGCTTCCAACCATCGAATCCTCTGTGAAGGCATGCTGTAACGGCCCACAAAAATAAAAGCACTGTAGCACCGAGTTCAGCCAACAGCTGTTTCGCAAATTCTTCAAACCTGTATGTAGTACAGGTTCAGAGAAACCAGTGTCCCCAGTGGTCGCGACAATTGGTCCAACATATCGTTCCTCTCCAAAAGCAACTGCCCCGCACTGGACTCCGACACAGCTTTCACGTCTTCATAAGCAGACACGTAACAGCTGGACAGATGCAAGTGCAAAAGAATAGTCCCTTTCAGGGTCCACATTTCTCGCACGTCGAGCGCGCTTCCCAGGCTGCTGCAGTGCTAGGCGGTTGCGCATTTCTGCAAGCACCACTTCCTTGAAGCGCGCGTCTCGCTCACGAGCGGCGCCAACCTCTGCAACCCGCTGGTGCAAAAGCGCATTTTGCAACTCTGCTGTCGACATGTGATGAAGTCCTGTGAGACGGAGACAATCTTTCTCTGCTTCACCTTTTAATTGCCTGGTCGGACCGCGCACTTTCTCCTTGCCGACGGTCACGCGCACCCGCCAACCCGAACCATGCTTTGCCACAGAAGCAAGAAACAAGCAAGTCAGCCGGTCATGAACTTCTTGCAAGCGCTCAATGGAAACCGCTGCCGCCTCTTCCAGTTGCTGCGCATCTTCGTTTGCAGCTGCCTCAGTGTTGCGGATAGGCCCATTGAACGTCTTAGTGCCCATCTTGCGGCGCGCAACGCCAGCCATTGCACATTTTCTGTACAGGCATGCGTGGGGCTCGGTGCAAATGTGCCAGAGTGACGTGCAGCAGGAGCACCAGGCAACACGCCAGTAAGCCGATCATGTACTTCACTTGCAAACGTTCCATAGAAACGGCTGCCGCCGCATCCAATTCATGCGCATCTTCGATTGCAGCCGCCTCGGTTGCGCGGGTGGGTTCATGGAACGTCTTGCTGCCCTTCTTGCGACGAGCTCGCCAGCCATTGCCTCTTTTCTGCAGAGGCATATCTTTCTACAACCTACGATCCGGCAATTTCTTCCCACGGCGGCTCAAAACAGCCGGATCAGACCGCTACGTTCGCAGCTCTTATCTGTCTGTGATAGAAGTATGATCTATATAGTCCTTCCCATTTCCGATGATCTCTGGAGAACTTCCCGGCTACCTCCTCACGCGGCGTGTCAAGGCAGCCAGATGAAACTGTTATGTCATATCCATGTATACATCTGACCCTGTTCTACTTGACAACTTCTGCGGGTTCACCACTGGAAGCACTGCTAATGCTCAATGTCTGCTGGTTCCTAGAACGCTCCTTCTGAGTTTTCAATGAAGCGATTGCATTCGCTCCTGATGAACCAAAAACAGCATGAACAATGGTGTTGGCAATGGATGTTGCTGCATTTGAACACACACAGAGATTTCAACAAGGCCAAAAACGTGAGCAGCAGTCTCTCCGAAGCACCGTTCGTCTCATCATGTTTGCAGCAAATCTAACAAACTAGCCTGCATGGAAGAACGCAGCCGGAACAGAGTAGCAAAAAAGCTTGCCAGCCGACTAGTACCGCAAGACTGAAGCAAGTCCAAAAAACATGCAAGACTGCAACAAAGCAGACATGCCTGAATTGAACAAGCCCAAGTAGTTGAACAAAGTTGAAGACAAACATCGGCGCACATCCTGCGAAACAATCCTATTATCCGATTAAGTCAACAATCCTGTGACGTGATTAAATGAAAATGCCCCTGCCTCGATCGAAAAGCCGAAGAACAGCACAACGGCCGAAATAGGTGCCACCAGCCTGCATCGAAGAACGTAGCCACAGCACTATCGCAAGAAAGGCTACCAGCCAACGGGCAACACAAGCGTGAAGCAACTCCAACACATGTGCAAGACGGCAACAAACCAGACATGCATGACGTGAACAAAGCCAAGTAGTTGAACAAAGTTGAAGACAAACATCGGCGCATATGCTGCTAAACAATCCTGTTACCCTATTTTGTGAAAATGTCCCTGCCTGGATCGACAAGCACATGAACAGCACATCGGGCGAAATGGCTAGACGACAGCATAAATCATTTCCACAGACTCTCCGGCTACCTCCTCACACGGCGTGTCAAAGCAGCCAGATGAAATTGTTATGTTATATCCATGTATACATCTGACCCTGTTCTACTTGACAACTTCTGCGGGTTCACCACTGGAAGCACTGCTAATGCTCAACGTCTGCTGGTTCCTAGACCACTTCTTCTGAATTTTCAATGCAGCGATTGCATTTGCTGCTGCTGATGCACCAAGGTGCACGCCTGCCACACAGGATAAACGTCCATGTCGCCGAGTGCCACGCCTGCCACGCAAAAAGCCGCGGCGTCCACGGCGTCATCTGGGAACCAAGCGCGCCACCAGTGCCAGCCCAGTGCCAGAAGTGCCACGCCTGCCACGCAAAATGACGGTCGATGTCACCAAGTGCCACACCTGCCACGCAGGATGCACGTCCATGTCGCCGAGTGCCACGCCTGCCACGCAAAAGCCGCGGCGTCCACGGCGTCCTTTGGGAACCAAGCGCGCCACCAGTGCCAGCCCAGTGCCATAAGTGCCACGCCTGCCACGCAAAGTGACGGTCGATGTCACCAAGTGCCACGCCTGCCACGCAAAGTGAAGGTGGATGTCACCAAGGGCCACGCCTGCCACGCAAAGTGGCGGTTGTCAAGTTGTGTGTGTGAGTAAGTTGTGCATGAGACTTTGTCAAGTTGTGTGTGAGTAAGTTGTGTGTGAGAAAGTTGTGTGTGTGTGTGTGGACAAGTTGTGTTGGAGCAAGTTGTCTGTGGAGAAGTGGTGTGTGAGCAAGTCGTGCGTGTACAAGTTGTGTGTGAGCAAGTTGTGTGTGAGCAAGTTGTGTGTGGACAAGTTGTGTGTGAGTAAGTTGTGTGAGCAAGTTGTGTGTGAGCAAGTTGTGTGTGAGCAAGTTGTGTGTGTACAAGTTGTGTGTACAAGTAGTTGTGTGACAACTTGCATGTTGACAAGGTGTGTGTGGACAAGTTGTGTGTGGACAAGTTGTGTGTAGACAGTTGTGTGTGGACAAGTTGTGTGTAGACAGTTGTGTGTGGACAAGTTGTGTGTGGACAAGTCGGAGCGGCGGAGAGGCGGAGAGGCGGAGGTGCAGAACCAAAAACAAGAACCCCACACAAAGATGGGAAAAACCTGCCCAAACGTGGCGTTGCTTGTATTTCCAAACACTCAGGCAAAGGTGTGGCACCCTTGCATTTGGCCGTGCCGCCGGGCATGTTTAGCGGTTTTTATGGATGAGCCCTGATAGAAGCTTTGTCACATATTTGGCCAAACATCGAGGAACCCCCAAAAAAACACTCCCACATTTTTTTGGTAAAACATATGGTTGGGGTATCCGGGCATGGGTACCTCCCATTCAAAAATGGGACATTCCCCCGTTCCGGGCCAGGCATTTGATGGGGATCTCGACACCATGAGCTTGCTCATCAAAGCCGGTGCTGATGTCAATGCGGGCGTCCCAAGAATTGGGTTTTTCTGGTGAAACAGTGAAACCTGGTTGGTGGTTTCAAACATGAATTTATTTTCTATAATATATGGGATAATCTTTCCTATTGACGAACTCATATTTCTCAAGATGGTTATCGCACCACCAACCAGAAACGCATGTGGCCAAATTGATCCAAATTGGATCGCACCTGGCCCAAGATTTTGGATCGGCACGGCTCCACGCCCCTCTTTTTCGTGCCAACTGCGGATGCCTGTGACGAGTGCGGGGCCTTGGAACTCTGCGCGAGCTGTGGACGTACATGTTGCGTATTCTTACGTTGTGGCAAAGTGTTGGGGGCTCCATGCTGATGTGGGATAGATTACTATTGTTATCATTACTGTTATTGTTACTATTACTATACTATACACACACATATATATATATAGAGTATCTGTTTTTTGGGGCTTCGTGCGCATATCTTGGCATGACCTGCAAATACGTCTACCGGAAATATCCTGTGGGAATGGCTGCTTGGTTTGCTGATGCTGCCAACCTTTAAGATTTTCGCTGCAGAATCCTGCTTTGTGACGGTTCTACATTGCTCCCTCGCTCCAGCATTTGAGTTGAGTCGAAGTTATGTTTTTGGAGGGTTCTAGTTTCTTGAGCAGCTGGAAATCCGCATCATTTTGCAGGCATGTGACAGTCGAAGCACAGTGAAGATTTGTGAAGGAAATCCGAGAACAAGACTTCAATCACATCTGCAGTACAGTCAAACATCCTCAAAACCGTCCAGAAGTTTTGATCAATCATCCCAAAACCGTCTAGAAGTTCACAGACTCAATCCACATGACATGTTGCGGTTTTTGGAGCACCACCAGCCGCTCCGATGGCCTTCAATAGACCGACGCCGTGAAGATGTCAGCCATGGAGGGGTCTGGCTGTAGCAAGCTCTTTTCCTTCCCAGAAGACCAACTGCACCTGCATGACGCTGCCTTGGATTTGATCCGAGCAGCCAGCAACTTGCAGATCGTTGCCATCATGGGCGATGGACGGGCAGGAAAGAGTCACCTGGGCAATGAGATTCTAGGGCAACAAGCCTTCAAGACATCGAATGGTGGTGATGCTATGACTCATGGTGTGGACATAGCGCTGCAAGGCAACAAACTGCTGATGGATTGCGAGGGTCTAAACAATGCCTTGGCACCCAGCCGTGCCCAGGTCTTGCAGATTGGAGCGGCATTGGCTTCAACTCTGATTTTCGTTTTGGACGGGAAGCTCTCAGAAGCAGGCCTTGACATGCTGTCAGGGGTTATTGCTCAAATGCAGCTGCATCACAAGCGCTTGCCCACCCGGCTGCTGCTGGTTGTCAACAAGTGTCTCCTGGACTACGAGCCACGTGACCTGGAAACAGCTTTGGAATCAACGCACGGGAATCGCGGCAGCCGGGAAGCCATTGCGCGTGCATTTTCCCAGCGGGATTTTGTAGCTCAACTAAAATGCAAATCTCTTTTTGGAAGCTGCTTCCTGTTTCTTTCTCTCAAACCATTTGCACCGTATCTTAATTCCAATTTAAGTGTTTTTTTGGGTTGTGGGCGGGCCTTCAGAAACTGCAAGTGAGGTGGTCGTCCCCTTTGAAGAGTTCAAAAAAGGCGGCTACCAGCAAGCCGTCAATGAATTGAACAGACTTACGGCGCAGGATACTCTGAAGGTTGATGGGCCTCAGCTGAGTGAAACGATCCGCTCACTGGCGGTCCAACTGAGGGACTCCATATGTGACATGCCCAGCCTTCATCAGCAGATCATGGAGAGATTTTTGCAGACCCAAGCCGATGCGGTCTTGCAGAATTTCAGTGAATCCTTGGGCCCAAAGCCGGTGGAATATGACCCAGAGTTCAACATTGACATCTCTGGGAGCTTGAAGAGCTTTGAGGACATTGTCCAGAACTTGTCTTTAGGGGAGGTGGCAGAACCACTGGCCAAAAGACTCCGTACCAACTTGGAGGCTTCAGCTGGGGAATGGCGACGTTCCAACGAAGCTTTGGGCGATAGTATCGCCAACTGGCGGGAAGTGCTGCGTCGAGGCTGTCACCTTTTGGCTTCCAAGAGGATTGGTGCGAGAATTGTGGTGCAGCGCAAGCAGGATCTCAGCCCGTTTTTGGCTTCGTCCAATGTGATTCGCTTGGACCCGCCAGTGCGCCTTCGATATGCATGTGCCAAACAACTTTTGAGTTTTAGTGGGATTTCTTGATGATCTGAACATCCTGGGTTTAACATTCCCACTGGTGATTCCTTTTGCTTATTTTTTGCCATGGCTGCATGTGCTCCTGCGCCCAGGCCTCTTTCAGTGCGTTGGATGTGGCACCATTTCCATCCGCATCTCAACCGAGAGAGTCACGACTTCGCGGCAGTTGTGAGGGATGGGCTGGTCGTTGCAGTGAGGGTGGCCGCCCCTGCATTACCAGCTGGAATCCAACCTCCACGCGGCAATGCCCGGCACAGGGGGGCCTTGAGTGTGAGCCTTCGTTCTGACGCTTGGGTTGCCGTGGTTTCGGAGGAACGTGGGGAGACCAGTGTGGCATGCGCAGGGGAGCTCTGGGATGCCGGGAGCAGTTTCCCCAATGATCAGAACTATGAAGCGCAGGAGCAGCAGCGCAGGAACATCCTGATGGGATTGAAGTTGCTGTGGGAGAGTCGCAGAATCAGTTCCTGGGCCCGTGGACGTGTTCATTCTTTGAAGGAGCTATGGGTGTGGGATGGAAAGGCTAAGGATGAGCAATCTGGGCTGGAGGCAGAATCCAGGCACCACAAATCAAAGGATGGTGCGAAAAGCCACGCGGAGCAGAAACTTCGATCTGCACTCCAAGGGCAAGGAATCATTTGGGACTTCCCTCCTTCGGCCCTTTGATTCAAAGGGATCGATTGGTGGATGTATATGTTCAGTGCAGAGATGTGCATGCGACAGATGTGCATCTGACAGCACATTCGACTTTAGCAACAGATTTTAGAAAAGCACAGAAAAGACGTGGATGACTGCCAGTTGTGTCAGTTTCTGTAGCGTTCTGAAAGGCATGTTCTATTTGAACAGATGGGGATCAATGATCAATGATTTTGGATTCAGGTGTTCGAAAGTTCCGATATAGGGGGCGGACCAAACCTGTTATACACTATTGTACCATGGGGGGAACGTACATAAATCATAAATCATAAATATCATAAATTTTAGATACCAACTATTTTGGTCTTCGGAGTCTTCGGGTCCTGAGGTGACGAGGTGACCTGACAATACCTGACACAATCCCACAGCCTCAGCCGCTTGGCATCTGAGGCTGGCGAAAGCGAACGCGAACCTGAACGTTCTCAACAAGAAGGGTGCGCGAACGCGGCCGTGCGGCCCATGAACAAAGGGGAAACTTCAACTTCAAGCCCAGTTCGGGAACCGTTTTGGACAAACCTCTGGATCCGGGTGTTGGAAGCATGAAAAGGAGAAAGCCTGAAATTTGATGCAACATCACCATCACCACCATTCCATGCGATCCTGGAGGATATTTTGGAAGGATCTCCCCATCCCAATCTCCCCAACTTTCGGGCCAGGCCAGTCGGCGATTCATACAGCCTCCCATGCGGGGCTGGATGAGGTTGCGCGGTGGCTGACAGACCATGCTGGGAAACCCAAGAGGATTTTTGCAGGAGAACTTTGGACGGGCTGTGATGTCAAGCTTGGGTGAATCATGTTTCTTCTTTTCTCGTGGGGTTGATTACGGTTGATTTATGATATTATCAATGGGGTTGGACCATAGCCGTAGTCCAACAGCCACTGCTCCATGGACGTTTTTTTTTTATAAATGATTTTTGAAGATATTCCAACATATTCCGACCAGGTGAATGGGCTCGGATTTAGCACTCCGAAGTCAATATTGCCAGGTAGTAGCTGGTGGAATCGCCGAAGAGGGTCCTAGCATGTCATAGCTACAGGACGCAATCAGCCTCCGGGCTCGGGTTCAAAAGCTTCTGCACAGAAAGCTCCCTGGGGCCATCAGATTCCAGAGCTTCTCTGGGGAAGTTGGAGGAGGTGGCTCTGCGTTCTTTGACCCCCCACCCCATCTACTTTGTCCATCCATTTGTTTGCCTCTCTCCCACTATCTATCTGTTCTCTTTATTTCGTGCCTGACACTGTTTTACAAGCTTAATTAGTGCCTATGACACTGCTGCTTTGCGGGAGAAGAGGGACATGATGTAGGGCAAATCCTCTGCGAAGCCCTGGCAAAAAAACACTGTTTTAGCAAATGTTGCGTCCATCAAGTCCTATGCCCCCTGGGACTCTCAGAGCATCATCATCCCGAAAATCTTGTTGCGAGGCCAGTCCAGGACTGATCAACGTCCAGGTGCCCTGCTGGGGGGTCTGTGGCCATGTTTTGAGGTTCATCTCTCCGTGCGTTGGGCCGTTGGGGTGGTTTGGAATGCCGAAGATTATTGCTGCACAGGACAAGCACGGCCGCACAGCTTGGTATTGCGCCACGCGAGTCGACGACTTAGAAGGGTTGGGAGTGAGCGAGCGTAGTATGCAGGTGGTGGTTGCCAGTTATTGGCCCTTCTTTCGTTATCAGCTACATTTGCGAAGTTGGGCTATCTCCCGACTTATTTAGTTGACTGTGTCTAGCATGCTCACACACACACAAATATGCCATGAGAATCCATCCAAGGCCGCGGAAGAAAGTGGCAACACAGACACTGTGAAGGTGCTGAAGGCTGGTGGCTGCGTTGTTGTCTGCCCCTGCCAGATACATATCAGAAAAAACAGGGGATAGTGATTCCCCCATGTTAATCGGAGGACATATGCGAACCGATTGCCAGGGAATCTATAATGATGGTGGGATGTTGTGACTATGGCACACAAAGATGAAGCAACTTTGGAGACTTGGGGTCGCAACTTGCAATTTTCCATCAAAGATGAGGATATAACTCGATGCCAGCGAAAATAGCGAAAATGAGTTGAACTAGCAGATACCCTACTGGAGGTGTTCACGTGTTCACAGCCCGATTCGTAACTGGCATCTCCAGCATTGGGAACTGGTCGGGTCCGTGTGGGACCGAAAAAACTGTGTCAGGAGAAGAAACCCATCACCACCCTGAAGCCGTAGAGTCCTAAGCTGCCATCTTCCAACCTAGACACTGACGACGCTTAAATTTTAGTAGGATTGGATGTGCCTTTCGGGCCCACCTTGATTTTTGGCTAAAGGATTTCCAGGTCAAAAAGGAGCAGAACATGAGTCACATGAGTCAAGTAAAGATGGTTCTTTAGCTACTGCTAGGTACAAGGAGTGGAAGGTGGATCTTCCTCCAAAGCCCGGCCGCCGATGTCGATTCTTACGGTGGAAGCTCTGGTGGCTTTACTTTTTTTTTTTGGGTATATGTCCCTCATGAATGATGATTTGTATGGTGTTTAGTTTGTGTAGTTCGCTAGTTGCCTTCTGTGGTTTGGCTTAGTTCATAGTTGGCCCTGCCCACCAGGTGATTTCTATGGTTTAGTTAGGTTCACCAGTTGACTATGGTTTATGGTAGCCTATATCGTAATAGTTATACGCACAGAACCGGATGTTTGCCCGGAACCTGTGTTTTCTCGCATGAAACAGCCCTTCTTTTTCAAGGACCCCCACGAAGTCTGCGCAAATTATTGTGAAACGAGCCATGAAGCACATTTTGAACCGCGGATGAAACATGTGTTAAAACCGCGGGAAAACTGGGATGTCATCTTGGGCGAACGCTAAGTTCTGCCGGTAGTTATACCTACTATAAGAATTGTAAAAACAACCATTTTTAAAGACAATTATAAACCATTATCAACGATAGCCATAGTCAACCTAGTTATGGTGATGGCTAACTATTTCTTTCTGGGTTCAGCAATCAACCATCACTTGGGCATGGAAAATTCGCCTCTGAGGCCCCAAACCTTAGTGGATCCCGTGGCGGTGGTGGCCAAGAAGACACTTGGGCAAAGTGCAAAGTATCCATAACAGCCATAACATTTATCATCAAACATGTATAGATGACGATGAAAAACTACGTACCAACATCACTCATCTATCTATCTACATCTATTATTTACATATTTGTATCATATTTTGTCATATTGTACAGCTTAGTCCATAATCCATGGCGGCGCCAAGCTGCCCAGGAAGGCTGCCAAGGCCGCGGAACGGGCTGAGAAGAAGAAGATGAAGAAGCTCACCGTGGCGGTGGAGGATCCAGCGCTGGAACGAAGACCGTTAGCTCATCATGGGGTGCATCCATGTAAACATGATGTGGTTTCTAGCCAATGCCAGAAACCTACCAGTTGGGTGTGTTTTCTATGCACCCATTTATTTATGGCAAGTCATTGGGATGTTTGATTGGCGGATTTCCCAGCTCCCCGGTTCTATTGGGAAGCTGGCCCAGGAGGAGCCTTCCATAGATCACTTCGTCATTGCCGGCAACCGAATGGTTGGAGTAGCGAGTAGCAATCAGGGCATGTCTAGGACCTTGGAACCCTCGGAATCCATCACTGTTTGGTGGTTTCAGATATCTTGCCTTCTGCAACACACACACACATAAACAAAAAAAATATATATATAATATAATATATATACATTTACATACATACAGATACATACTCAGATACATATACATATACATATGCATATAGATATAGATATACATATACATATACACACACACATATACATATATATACACGCATATATCTATATATATATATATGTACATATAGAAATATATATTTTTACACATCACATATCTGTGTGTGTTACAGCATTCTCCCAGTACAGGTCGTCAAGTTGCTACACAGCCAGGTACATTGGGCTCATTCGACGCATCTTTTTGACTAAGTTGCTAGTGCTCGGACGGGTTGTTCAACCACCAAGTGAGTGGTCCTAGGGCTCCTTTCATGCAATCCGCATGCCCAGGTGTCACCCAAACGCAGTGATGATGAGCTGCGACACCTGTCCGAAGAGTTGTCGCAGGCGGAGAAGCGGTGGATTTGGAATCTTCGTCGTGGGGTTATATTATGGAGGGCAAGCTGAGATGAAGAAGGACAAATCGTATAGAACGCACAAGGAAGTTATTACTTTTTGTAGTTTCCAGATGCTTCTTCACTTTCCAAGAAGGGATTTCACTGGTTTCATTGCCATCATCTTGGGCTACTGAAGCACAGATGGTGCCGCCGCCATTAGCACGGCCATGGCGTAGGCTGACACTGAAGTGGTGGCATGGAGCTCAGCGGGGTTTGGGTTGCTGTCTCTGCCACCGAGATGCACCGAGGCAGTGCTGCAGGACAACCTCCAGGAGGAGATTTTTCTGACCGCCCCAAGGGATGCCTCAAAGGGGCACCGAGGTCACCAAAATTCACCGCAGATGGGAGCGTACCTTGCATGCGAACTTTCGACAGCTGACATACCAATGGCCATAGAAATAGTGGATTTTCCCATTCAGAATGGTGGATCTTTCCATAGTTTTTTGTATGTTTACCAGAGGGTAAGGTTTGAACCGGCACGTGAGGACTTGCATCTCTGATATCTTTGCAAGGCCCCGTTTCGGGCATACCACAGGCCAAAGACCATCAGCAGCATAGGGGGCACTATATCACTCCCCATATGGTATTTTGCCGCATGGTTTCCCAAGTTTAGCCGGTATGTGTTTCGGCTGTGCAAATGCGGAGAGGAGCAGTCGACAGAGGATCTTGTTAAGGATGCGGAGTCCTTGCTCAAAGAGGTCTATGAGGAACGGGGGGAAGTTCCTGGTGGCTGCGGAAAGACTTGATATTGGTTTTGCAGTGTGCCTTTAGAAGGCTTAGAGTGCTGAGTGGCCAAATGACTTGTTGATTGATTGGCCTTGACCCAACAGACCCAACAGCATGAAAGACCAGCTATGCATGGCAACGGTGTCAAGCGCCCCAAGCTGCTCACCAACCCAGCAGGAACAGTTTCAAGGGCCCATGTGCCATTTCCTTTCGTTCTTCACACTGAATCTCCTGCATCTTTTTTCCAAAGATGGGTAATCAAATGTGCCACATTCTTGGGGATGAAACATCCCCGCCTGAGATTGCGATTGTTGGCTGTCGATTGGTAGTTGGTGTGTTCCCCAAAAAACACGATTGAGCAACGCTTGTCAGCTGCTGATGCCGTTCTTGCCAGGCCGTCATGGCGAAGCAAACTCAGGAGGGTGAGGAACTCAGAGTTTTGGTCGGGAGATAGTGAGGCCAAAAAATTCCAATCAAGTGCAATTGTTTGCGTGTGTTAGTTCGGGAAGCGACTCGCAGATATGGCGATAGAGTAGAGAGAGATGCTTTGAAGCAGAACCAGGGAACATTTTCACTTGAGCCGCACTGCAATGTGGCCGCAACTTGAACTTTTTAGGCTCTAGGGGCACAGCTTTGTGTGCGTGCAGACACGTTGGTTTCTCATAGAAAAACATTCCTTCAATAACCTGTCAGATCTCTTAGAATGCTCAGGAAAGAAGGGGGGCCCGCTAGCAATTGTCCAGGCTTACAATTGTCCAGGCTTGAAAGTCCCGCAACCTGTCTGTGATGGACTGGTTAAGTCAGATTTGATCATAAAGGTCATAAAGTGGAACTTGTCCAAATGTAAATTTGCAACTCCTGACCCGGTGAAGCACCATTTTTGACAAGCGAGTTCCCACAACTTTGGCGCTTGGCCCTCAATGGGTGTGCTGTCCCCATCCTGACTCTCACCACTGCCTGAAACTCAGCGATTTTGATTTGTTGACATGCTCATGGCGGGAACTTAATTGAGGTGAAATGAATGGCATTTCATATCAGATCATTTTGGCAGCTTATGATCGTTCACCTGCTGCAGGGTTTCGGCCCAGCCCCTGGAAATCTCCAACGTAGGTTTGATGAGTTCACGTGCCAAAGGCTTTGTCAGCCTTTCACTTCTTTTTGTCTGGACTTGGCTTGGAAGTTGTTTTTGCAATCTTGTACTGCCTGCCAGCCAATTTCAAGACATCATTGATGACGTTGGAGTCACCAGCATGATATACAAGGGCAGCCCAGGGCATTCTCTGTCATTGGTGTCTGGTGATCGACGTGGGAAGATCTTGAAGGACTTGTGCAGGAAGGAGCTTGCAAAGATGCATCCCAACAGCAGGATCCAAGATGCGGTACGGGGAGCTCGTTGCAACGGCCAGCAGAGGGGTGCCCATCAAGCTGAGTATGATTTCAGCATCGGCAAGAAGAGGATCGAGTGCAAGAGTTCCTTTATGAAATGGAGCGCGCGCAGTCAAGAGTGGCAAGTTGTCTTCTACATGGTCAAACTGCCCTGGGCGGGTATCAGGGACCAGGCATCATTTGATGATCTATACTTGATCCTAGTTACCCCAGACCATGTGGACATCATCAAGCATGACTTGGAGATGTTTCTTTTTAAGCATGCTACAAGCAGCAGCTACCGGGTACACATTGCAGGGTCAAGGAAGCAGGAGTGTTGGAAAATTGCTTATGAGCAGATCTTGGAGAAGCTGTTGGGTAGAGAAAGCCGCTGTTCGCTCGTAGCTCAGGTGGACTTGTCAAATCCTCAAGTTCAGTCCTGGATTTCTAAAAGCTTGAGGACAGCTTCCACACCGCAGGATGATGCTTACAATAGAATCCCATTGAGCGGCATGACTTCGGCCTTGCGAGGCCTGCGGATCCGGCGAATTGCGCAAAGATTTGATGCGATTCTTCATCCAGATAGTACCTTTTTGGCAGGAGGTTCAGCAATGGACTGGGTCCGAGATGGTTTGAGAGTTCAGGTGAAGCATGCACAGATGCTGTTCCAAAGAGGCAACCATTGGTGTTGCATTTTTTCTCGCATTAAATGTGCCATGAATGATGCACGTCAGCGAGATCTTTTGGATGAGCTCCGGCTTGTTGTGTACAGCCCGTTTGGCTTGCATTTCTTCAAGCACGCTGGCGGCACAATTGGCTTCATCGAAGCCGGCCTGAGAACGGGTACACATGGGCACAACATCCTTTTCTCAGCCCCTGCAGGGGTGGTCGATGTCAAGGCAGCTTTGGAAGCAATCATGCAGAAGATGAAGGACAAAGGATTCCATTTGTTCGCCGAGGTCAAGTGGGACAGATAGCAGCTTGCTGAGGAACGAATGGTCCACGGAGCATTTTGCAGCTATTCGTAGCTGGACAGAACCATCAGACCGGTCTTCATGCTCATCACTTGCGAGGCGAGTAGTGGCGCCGCTATGACGAGCTGAACTTGATTCCTCAGAGGGTCAGACGACATGCGCGAATGTCTCGCCAATGCAAAAAGGGCCGGGGGGTGAATTGGTCCTGCAAGTGTGCATGCAAGCAGCTCCTGTTGCCTTACATTCATTCTTCTTCACACCCAGTGAGATGTAGTGGATGGAACCAGAAGTCCTCATGAGAGACTGAGCTGAGACGCCTTCGCAGCTGTCTTTGGCTTGGCAGATATCGGCGATGAAAGATTGACAATTTGAGAGTGGATAAAGCAGGACCCCCAACACAGACTTGCTACCTTCAAAACTGCCTTTCATCAGAAGCATCCAGTGGAATTGATTCAGTCAAATCCAACTCTTCAGAAAAACCCCGCGTCAAAACTCCACAAAGAAAGGAAACTAACAAGTAGAACTTACGTTGCTGACATTTTCGCTGGATCGCAATGGACGGTCCGGAGGATGAGCAATCCTGCTATGCGATTCTGGGCGTGGATCCCGCTGCCACTTCCTCGGAAATCCGGCAGGCCGCGATTCTTAGCGTGGGCAGTCCCACGGCTTTTTCCGGATTCAAGCTTTTCTTGCTTCGCTGTACATCTCATTACATCATATTACATCTCAACATATTTGACGCCAAAAAATTTGACAATTGCTCCCTACCGTCCCAACACATCCCCAAGCAGAGATGGACAGCCAGGCCTACCGCAAGTTGGCCTTAGCTAAGCACCCTGACCGCGGGGGCGATCCAGCAGAGTTCGCCCAGGTGACCAAGGCCTACGAGGTGCGAAGTGAAACCAATAGGATGAACGGATGAACTTGTAAAATATTGAATTATTGGGGAAAAAAAACAAGAAAGCCGTGATTCCAGACTTGCCAGCTGGTGGCTCTCTACTTTAGTTCTGCTATTCTGGTGCCATCGGTGCTAGGTTTAGTTTCAACCGTTTTTGATTTTCGCCAAAAAATCCGCGCTGCCCGCGGTGGTTAGGTGCTGTCTGACAGCAAAGCACGAGCCAAGTACGATGCCACAGGGAGGACGTCCAAGCTCACGGCTGAGGAGGAGTTCATAGAGGCAGCGCTTGGCCAAACAGGTTGAGCCTTGATCGATGATGGATTCCCCTCTTTGATATCTATCAAAGGTCCCAAAATGATACACACTGATACACCCATGGTCACGGAATTGGAACATTGAAGTCATTTAAGCCTAAAAAGCTTATGTTCGCATGGCTTCTGAGTTGCAAAAGCCAACATCGAATGACATGGGAGGCCTTCCGCAGCTCCACTGCCGCCAACGCGGACGCGGAGTCCCGCCCCGCGGAGCCGCGCCGCGCCGCGCCGGAGCCGGAGTCAGCACCGCGGCGCTTCGCGTGGGAGCGCGGAAATCGCAGTGAGCAGCAGAATGGACAGAGGCTGCGGCGGTTGTGGTTGGGTGTGGCCGGTATGACATGATCATATCATATGAATCCTATGTGTATTGAATTATTGTGGATATTTTTTGTAATTCTTTGCGTTTTGTTTGATTCTTGAGGATAGCTGATGAGGTTGTGGGGCTGTGGGGAAATCCTGAGAGAAGAGCCATCAAGACTCAAGATGGAGCTTGTCTTTACGTTTTGAGACTCGACTTGAAGTGTTCGATTGTGGATTTGAAAGTGCCTTGCAGTGATTTTGGCAGGCGGAGTGGAGGTGTGCACAGCTTTTCTGCAAATGTCGGATCTTCCCGGCCATCATCGCCACTTTGCTCCACTAATCTGATCGTTACAATTCCAGTCTTGCAGCAAGCCCATGGGTGTGGGTCGAAACTGAACTTTGCAATTCGCACGTCCACAAGGTGGGTGGATTTTCTCCTAGAAACGACACAGAACATCTGTCACTGCAGAACCATAATCTTTTTCCCCACCCGCCAATGTTTTACCATGTTTTACCAATTTTTTCACCCATATCTTGGCTGACTTACATCCCAAGCAGATCCAGGACCCCCGACTCAGCTGCCGGCTACATCCGCCCCGACAACTTGGCGGGTGCCGTCCAGGAAGCCGCTGGGGGGCTGGAGGTGGGCGCGCGCGTGCGCATCGTGGGGCTCCAGAAGCAGCAGCATCTGAACTCAGCCATGGGCGTCCTGGTGAAGTTCCATGGGGACCGGTGGCAGGTGGGGATGGCGATGGAAAAAAGGAGGATGAGTTTGGACTTGAAGACTCTTGTTCTCATGGGATGTTACATTGAAAAATCAATCAACAACATCCGACCACAATTTCACTAGATCACTAGATAATATCTCAAACTCAAGAATTGAATTGCGGTCTTTTGGCCTTTTCTTCCAACTTGATCCACCCACATCCACCAGGTGCGTTTGGAGGGCGACCTCGGGGACAAGCTCTTCCGCGCTCAGAACCTGATGCCGGCCTCCCGCAACGGTCCCTCCGCAGCCAGGGCCGCCGGCAGCAACGGCTTCCGGCCCGAGCCGAGGGCGCAGGAGGCGGCGCCAGGACGGGATGATGTTGCCATGGGAAAACCTAGGAAACAGCATAGCATAGCATAGCAATAGCATGTCAAAGCGCTGTAAGAATAGTCCCGTTTCAGCGTTCCCAAGCCATCGCAGTGAAAAAGTCATTAAAAGTTTAAAGATTGTTCTATCATGTTTGATCAGCGTCTATATCTCAGCCAAAAGCCCTAAACTAAAAGGCCCCAAACATTGAGCTCACATAACAAGTTGAAGATCTTTTGATGCTGTTGTTTCCGGTGTAACTTGATGGTCTGCAAAAAATGAAGGACATGCCAACGGCGTGGCGAGCACCAATGGCACCCACGAAAGGAATGGCACCACTGGTGGCCCAGAAAAGCGCGGCTTCATGCGACCGCCTGCAGATTACCTGCGCGCAGATTCATCAACGATTGAGAGCCTGGGTGAGTGTTGGCACATGATTTGTTCCTGCCATGATTCTTCCTGTGCTGGGGAGGGGCATGACAATGATCTTCTTATGACCTGATTTGTCTTAATTGAACCCCCAACAAACCACGTTATGGCATTCTGGGATAATAACATCATTGCACAATGCATTACAGTATATCATTTAATCATTTGTTACACACTGTAGCAACCTCAAACAAATTGGAAAAGTAAACTCCCACTAAAATAGTGGTAAAGGACTTTCCTATCCCTTTTCAGGTTTGCTATACGTTATCATTCAGTCTTTTGTTGTGTGGAGATTGTATCCATCCATTCCCCGAGAGAACATGTGACATCCTCGAGGATCTGCGGCAGCTGGAACAACTGGCGGCCGCAGCCCATGATTTTGGAACGCCAGCGTCGGTGTCACAAATTCCAGGTGGTGCTCCCCTCAAGCGCGCCGGAGAGCTGCTTGGTGAGGGTGGGATGTGTGTTAGAACTGTTAGGATCAGAAAATGAGGAGAGCCTGTGCTGGTAAAGCACCGCACTCACGCGTTCAATCCTCATTTTTGCTCCTTGAATCAGCTTGAAACCCAATTTTTGGGTGATAAAAAATAGCAAGGCCTGCCATTTTTTGCGGCCCCAGGCTTCCAGCTCTTCGTAGCGGGCGACGGCCCGGGGCGCTGCCTGCACCCCGACCGGCCCGAGGCGTCGGTGCAGGAGTTCCACCGCCTGGTGGGGCCGGATGACAACAGCCAGGGCCATGGCTGGAGCATTGGGAAGCACCCGGAGGAAAGGTTGGGGGGATGAGGATGTTGGAGGTGGGTTGGTGGTGGTGATTTGGTGGTGATGATGATGATGATGATGATGATGAACAATACCCAAACGCTTTTCTCCTTTCCAGCAGGACCACGCCGCCATGGGCGCGCGGTATGAGGTGATGCTGATCTTCGCAGCCAATGGGCGCCCGGATCGCCTCGACTGGGTGCGGCTGAACCCGCGCAGCGAGGCGCCGAAAACCACGCCTGCGAAAGCCAAGGCGAGGCCGGCGCCCTACGGTGGCCTCAGCATGGGAGGCTTCCTACAAGCGGCCAAGCCCGAGTGGACGCAGAAAGATATCACCTCGGTCTTGGAGAGGTGCTGATGGACGATGAGATTTGGAGGGTTGGTCATTGGAATGGGGTTATAAGTTAGTAGGAGAAGCAAGAAAACTGACAGATGACAAATTATCCTCCAATTTCAGCCCCCATGGCTGTTTTGATGGGCTTATTGGCTTATTGCCACTCCCAGGTTGGGCAAGATCACTGTGACGGACATGAGCAGTTTGCTTCGTACCCTGCAGTCTGAGGGCTCCGCGGGGGTGAACCAAAGGTTCAAGGCTGTTGGGGAGAAGAGCTTCACAGATTCAACTGTCAGGTGGGGATGCTAGGAGCGGGGCTGGGATGGTATGGTTCATAAACAGAGGGGATGCCAAAGCGGCTCCGTCATTTTTCTCAAAATGGAAATTATTGGTTGGGACAATTTTGAGCATTTCTTCCACGAGACACTTGAGATCATACGCCATACGCTGTCTCAAATTCCAACGCCTATTTCAATTCCAAGCATCACTCCCCAACGTGCTGCAATTCAACTCCCAAGTGCTCTGCAGGAATTTTGCTACACAAACTTAGGGCGTGTTCATGCCAATAAATCATCAAGACCCCCTCTCTTGAGCTGCCCTTGGCATCAGGGCCTTGCGAGAGCACGCGAAGAAAGTTGCTGCACTTGAAGCCGAACGTTTGAACCCCAAGCCCAAGCCGAAAGCGGCGCCGCCAGCCAATCCACTCGCGCCCTTGCCCACGCAGGAGTACAAGGTGGGAAACATTTTGGCTGCAACCAATTGCTGGGACTGGGCTCTCTATGTTATTTCAGTTATTTCCATCCTCAAAGAGCAACTTTGTGCAGTGTTTATTTGATCATTTTGATCTTTTTCTCTTGTTATAGAATGGTAATCCATGCACTCAGGCACCCTGTGGCCCTTGTTGGGTGGACCCCTTCCTGTCCGCCTCAGGTGGTGCACGACTTTGTGTATTTGCGGCAAGAGCCATCCCTGCACGCGCCCATCCTGGGCAAACGTCAGCGTGGCGACACCTTCCACGCCTCCGAAGAGACCTGGGATGGCTGGGTGAAACTGCATGGGCAGCCTGGATCCTTGACCTTTTACTTACTGGTGCTTAGCAGGGAATGGATGGGAATGGGGGACTGGGATGATTATTGATAGTTATTGTGGAGCATTCCCTCATTCCCTACGTTTCGCACCAGTAAGTTTAGAGAAAGAAAAGGTGAATCCCAATGGATTGCAAAACAGTCACAGAACCAATCGCCGCACAGCTGGGAACATGATCACACTTAGTGTAACCAGTTTCACACCACCAACTTCAAGTTCATCCACCAACATCCACAGGGGGGTGCTTAAACATCCCGCCGGGTTGGAAATGGGCCGAGTAAAAACAGCATTTTCATGTGACTGGCAAGAAGTCAATCATGCGTTTCGCAGTGTTTTTTCATGTTTTTATGTTGTCCAATGAAGGTCAATTCTATTGCGATTTTCAATTTTCATTGGGATTTACTATATATAGTTGACATGTCGGAGTGCGAAAAAGGTATCTTTTGGGAAGTCAACGTGCCCAAAACCTCAGCGGCAGCCATTTTTTCCGGTGATCTCTACATCTTCGCTAAGTACGCACCTGTTTTCTCCAACAGGTCTTTTCCAACTACATTTGCCTCCCATCGCCACTGCCATGTGCGAACGTACGTCCAAATGAGTTCATTCAATTTCTCTTCGTTTTCTGGGCAAGATGTCAACTGATCGGGAACACTGGCAAGTACGTGGACGTTATTACCCCACCCCACCCCACCCCTGCGTGACGTGACACATCTTCAACGTAGCATCACGTATGTGCGCACGTGCAAGTGAACGTGCCGTGGCGTAACATCATGGGAGTGCGCAAGTACGTGAACGTTATTACCCCACCCCACCCCACCCCACCCCAAGGAACATATATAAAAATGCCTAAAACGCTCGGATGGTTTTCAACCCGTAGGCTTAAACATCGCCATTGGGCGTCGAAGTAGCAGGTAACAACAGTGAAACAGCCCCCAAACAAGCAAGCTGATGTCGGAAAAAATCTCATCCAACCATTTTCACCATTTTCACCTAAGTTTTTCCCGATCCCCATCCCCATCCCCATCCAGGCTACATCATCAAGGACATGGGTGGCCTCTCAGGCATCGGCAAGGTGCTGAGTCAGCTGGGCCGCGCCCTGCCCTTGGTGCTGCCGGAGCCGCAGGGCTCGCCGGAGCCGTTGACCTTTGAGGTGGTCTACCAGCCCTTTGTGGCGGTGAGAACGGGACCCTCCAAGACGCGACCCATACAGGTGGGGGGGGGGATGGGGATGAGAGTCATGATGGAAATGCGCGGAAATGTGATGAAATGTGTGGATGGAAGGGAAAAATGAATAAGCAAACTTGAGATGATAAGGATTTTTTTGAAGAGAAACGGGGTGAGAGAGACCCAAGTGTGATCAGCCCCCAATGCTGTCGTCCACCTCCTAAGGGGTGATGTTCGCGGAGAAAACCGCAGTGTAAGGGCCTGAGATCAATGTACGGATTAAGCAAAGGAAAAAAACCCAGCACATTCGCAGCACATTTTTTCCATGACAAAAAATCTAAGAAAAAACACATGGAAGAACCCATTCCACCCATTTCCCTCATGGTTTCAGCCCGGACGAGACCATCCCTCTCATGGCTTCAGGGCACCCGCAAGTTTGGTGAACGGCTCCGCGCTGAGAGTCAGGGCTACGGCGGCTGGGTGCGCGTGGTACAGGAGGATGGAGGCGGTTGGATGTTGCGGCTCGGATGGAGATGGCGTGGAGTGGGGCTTGCCTGGCCACATATGGGTCTGATTGGTTGGCTTCGGAATTGATTCATTTTTGGATTCATTTGGCCCTACTTTTTAGATGGAGAATTGGGATGTAGAACCTGGAGCAATGCAATGACAATGAAAGATGGCGAAGTAAATTTCAGTTTTGGGAATTGAAACATCGCTTGCTGGATGGTATTGCTTAAGTCACTTTTGCCACTTTTGCCACTTCTGCACTACATCACGGGGATGCCAACCATTTTCCATTGCATTTTTTCCGCCCAGAACCTTGGATGATGAGCTGGGCCAGCTTTTGGCCTGCAAAACCGTGGACGAGCGAAGGAAACAGGCCCCTGGTATCCCCTGGTACTGTTGGGATCCCTTGGTGTCCCCTGGTATTCCTTGAGATCCCCCGGTATCCTCTGGTACCTCCTGAGTTGGTCTTCATCTTCCCGAGATGATGCATGGGATTTTCAGTGGTGCTAGCAGCTGCAGCTAGCGGCCCATCGTATACACGATTTTTTTGGCACAGACACACATACACACAAACACAGAGATTTTGCAGCGTAGCAACTCCAGGTATTATAAATATATATATATATAGATAATCATATATAATGATCCATAAGTTGGAAAGCTGGGACTTGCATGAGGTCAATATTAATATTAATTGATTAATGTCAATATCGTCTACTGTATACTGTACTGGAAAAATTGGAAGTACAGTATTTGCATACATTGATATCTATAGTCTTTCATCTATGAATAAATGATAGTATCTATACTATGTGGATAGTGTACCTATAGATATCTATGATCGTTCTACATCCACTGATAGTGTCTGGAACAGTGCCGTTCAGCTGCCAGGTGTCTGCCCTGCGCCATGCCAACCGCAACAACGTGGCGCAGCTGACAGAAGCGATTGCTGGAGCTCGCAGGTGGGCGGAGATCGTTGATCCACGAACAAGCCGACCTAATAAGAGGTAGGTAGTATAGTGTTAGTATGGCTTAATGGTGCTTGATTCTTGGTCAATGTGGCTTTGATATGGGTTCATATCGACTGAGATGTGTTGATATGGGTTGATATGGGCCAATCATAGATGGATCTACCCAGAAAGTTGGCGAATTGATCCGTCAGGCTAGGAAACCACAGGGGTATCAACAAGATTGGTTGGTGTACAGCAGAAATCCAGAATTTCCTACGTTTGAAGCTGTCGGTGAAGCCAGTTTTAAAGCTCTAGTATGGAGACTTGTAGTTTCCTTCAAACTGCAGCTGCCCTCCACCAACAAGTTGGTTTTCAGCCGGAGAAAAGATCATGGCTTGATGTTTCATTTCCCATTCAAAGGGGGAAGCATCTCCAAGAATCAAAACTATGTTGTTGGGTTGGGTAATGTTCGGTCGACGGCGTCGGCGCTTTCGATCATGTCGGACGCCAGTCGATGCTCGGAAGCCTTCTCCGCTCCCCTGCGCTTCGACCCCTCCTCCCCTACGCCCGCCTCTTCTACGGCCAAGACAGCACCTACCTCTGGTGGGACTCTATTGGCGCCTGCCACTCCGTTCAGCAAGCCGAAGGGGGGGAGCAAGGCGACCCACTCATGCCTGCCTTGTTTGCGCTTGCCCAACACCCAGCGCTGCAAGAGACCGCGGCCACGATGCGGTCCGGGGAAGCGCTCTTTGCTTTCCTTGGTGACATCTATGTCATTTCGTCGCCTGACCGCACCCACGCGCTCTATTCCACCTTGCGCGTTTCCCTCCGAGGCCACGCGTGCATCGAACTCAACCAAGGTAAGACCCGCATCTGGAATGCGGCTGGGGAAGAGCCGCGCCACCTCCCAGAGCTGCAGCCGGCTGACAGCAACGACCGGGTTTGGGTCGGCGACTGGACTCTGCCCCCTTCGGCGCAAGGCCTCCAGGTCCTGGGCACCCCCATTGGGAGCGCGCAATACGTGCAACATGCTCTCACCGAGGTCCGCACCAAACAAGACCTCCTTCTCCACCGCATCCCATGGGTAGAGAACCTGCAGGCCGCCTGGCTGTTGCTCCTTTTCTGCGCAGCCCCCCGGAGCAACTATCTCCTCCGCGTCCTCCCACCGGCGGACACTACAGACTTTGCAGCCGCCCACGACGCCGCGGTGGCACATTGCGTCAGCACCCTGGTGGCGGCAGGCGCGGCCCTTACGGACCGGCCCTTTCGGACCTGCAGCTACGTCGGGCCCAACTCCCATTGCGCTTGGGGGGGTGCGGCCTGCGCTCGGCCCACCGTTCGCGCCTCGCCGCGTATTGGGCCTCATGGGCCGGCACCTTGCCCATCCTCCACGCGCGCCTTCCTCTTGTGGCGGACCGCCTTCTCCAGCTCCTCAGCGGCGAGGCCCGCCCACAACCACCCAGCATCCTCGCCGCCTCCCAGGCAGCCCAGCTCCTCCGGGACAGCGGGGGGACTGTCCCACCCTGGGAATCTATCATCGGCGGCCGCCATACCTTCTCGCACGAAGACCGGACCCCGGGCGATTTCCTGCGGGGGTGGCAGCGCGACATCAGTGCAGCCCAAGACTTGGACGAGCTCGCAGCGCTCCTATCTGACCTTTCCCCTCCGGAGCGCGCGCTTCTCCTATCCCAGGCTGGGCCACACAGCGGCCGCGCAGTCACAACCCTTCCTACCAGCCCGGAATTCCAGCTCGGCAACCCGCTTTTCCGCACCTTGCTGCAACGGCGGCTCCGAGCCCCCTTGAGCTGCGGCCCTTCCCGGTGTCGGTGTGGCTTGGCACTCGACCCTTACGGCGACCACCGTGCCGCATGCGCCACCACTGGCGTCCTCCGGGCACGAGCTGCGCCCATCGAACGCGCGGTCGCCCGCATCTGCCGCGAGGCCGGTGCCCGCGTCGCGGTCAACGTGCCGCTCTCGCGCATGAACCTCGCGGTCCCGGTCACCGACGCACGCCAGATCGAAGTCCTCGCAAACGACTTGCCGCTCTGGCACGGGGCTCAGCTGGCAGTCGACGTGACCCTCGTCAGCCCCCTTGGCCGCACCGGACAGGTGCGCCACGCTTCCGACGCGAACCCGGGCGCGGCGATCCTGGCAGCCTCCCAGCGCAAGCGGGAACACACCTACCCCGAGTTTTCCGGCTCGCGCCGCTGCCACCTAATCATCTTGGGTCTCGAAGTAGGAGGTCGTTGGGGCGAGGAAGCCGCCGACTTCCTCCGAGCCTTGGCGCACGCCCGCGCCCGCACTGCGCCAGCACTCCTCCGCTCGGCGGCAGTTCAGGCCTACGTGCACCGTTGGGCCGGCCTCCTATCCGTCGCGGCGCAGCGCGCCCTGGCCGAGACTCTCCTCGAACTCCCGGCCGCGGCCGCGCCCGGCGTCGATGGGGAGCCCCCGCCGTTCGCCGCGACCCTGGCTGACGTCCGGTGGCATGAACGCCCACCGGATAGTCGCCTCCCGCGGTGACCGCTGTGGCTGTACATAGCCTCCCCCAATGGCAAAGTCCATTGGCGCGTGAGACGCAGAGTGGGTCATGCAGCAGGGGAAAAAAAAAACAAATATTTAAAGCATCAATAAACAAATATTTAAGGGACCAAGAAAAAACATATTAATTTTCCCTGCGTTGGTGCAGTGTTTTAGCCCTTTTATGCAATTTTCAAATCTTGGTCCCTTGGTCCTTTGGTCCCTTGGTCCTTTGGTCCCTTGGTCCTCTGCTCCCTTGGTCCTCCAGTCCCCTGGTCCTCTGGTCTTCTGGTACCTTGGGGGAATCAACTTCAATCTTCGACCCGAGATGTTAACATAGTTGCTTGGTTTCCATGATTTTCACAGCAGGGCAGGCTGATTTAATACTTCATCATATGGATGGCGCACCCTGCACCCCCCCACCCGCTTTTATTTTTTAACCGGCTCCCCTTGCTACCTACTATTCCCTCGTTTTTTCACAAGCATCATCGTTTATTTGGGTTCATTTTATCTTTATTGATATCCGTCGTGGCTTGTGCCTACGCACTTCTTTCTTGATATGCATTGCGGGGGGAGGCGCTGCGCCATCCCCTCTGCACTCCCCCACCCGCTTTTATTTTTTAACCGGCTCCCCTTGCTACCTACTTTTTTTTTCATGAGCATCATCGTTTATCTGGGTTCATTTTATCTTTATTGATATCCATCGCCGCTTGTGCCTACGTACTTTTTCTTGGTACGCATTGCGAGGGGAGGCGCTGCGCCCTCCCCCCTGCACCCCCCGCTTTTATTTTTTAATCGGCTTCGCTTGTAACTTATCCTCTTTCCTTTTTTCATAAGCATCGTTTATTTGGGGTTACCTTCTCTTTCTTAATCTTTATTGATATCCATCGCGACTTGTGCCCGTGTGCTTCCTTCTTGATACGCATTGCGGGGGGAGGCCCCGCCCGTTTTTTTTTTTTTAACCGGCTCCCCTTGCTACCTACTATTCGTTTGTTTGTTCATATAAGCATCACCGTTTATTTAGGGTTATTTTATCTTTATTGATATCGATCGAGACATGTACCTATGTGCTTCTTTCTTGGTGCGCATTAACCGGCTCCACCGGCTACTTACTCTACTTCTTTTTATTTCACAAGCATCGTTCATTTTGTTTTTTTGATAAAATCAATATCTTCATTCTTGCTGCTGCTACTACTACTTATTACTACCACCACTACGGCATCTCTTTTGGAATTCTTTCTGGCATACGTGGCTATTGTGTCTTCTCACTTTCATTGTGGCATTCTATCTCACCCAGGCGCTTGTGATCCAGGTCCGGCGGGCACCACTCTGATCCGGGTTTTGCGGTTGAGGTCAGGCGCGGCGAGGAGGACACTACTACTAGTACTGCTGCTGCTGCTGCTGCTGCTGGTACTACCACCACTACTACTACTACTACTACTACTGCTACTGCTACTGCTACTGCTACTACTACTACTACTAGTACTCCTAGTACTCCTAGTACTACTAGTACTACTAGTACTACTACCACTACCACTACTGCTACTGCTACTGCTACTACTACTACTACTACTACTATTACTATTATCACCCACTGGACGAGGGTGAGCGGAGCTAGCAACCCATTGGTTCCATTATCCCAGTGCCCGGGGATTTCCTTGTCATAACATTTCCTTGTCATAATTTCCTGGCCCCATGGAACATATACACGCATACTTCTATTAGGGGTTTCATTTAGGGTTTACATGAGTTATCAAATCCCCCGGCCCCATGGAACATATACGCATACTTCTATTAGATTAGGGTTTACATAAGTTATAAAATCCCCCGGCCCCGTGGAACATATACGCATACTTCTATTAGGGGTTTCATTTAAGGTTTACAGAAGTTATAAAATCACCCGGCCCCATGGAACATATATGCATACTTCTATTAGGGGTTTCATTTAAGGTTTACATAAGCTATAAAATCCCCCAGCCCCATGGAACATATACGCATACTTCTATTAGGGGTTTCATTTAGGGTTTACAGAAGTTATAAGATCCGGAGTCGCCAAAAAGTGGAAAAGATTGAAAAAATTGAAATGGCCGAAACGCGTGAAGTCCGCAGAGGGTTCACTTTTCTGACTGATTTTTCCAAAAAAATCGTCTTAGACCACGCTAACTCACAGATGTACCAGAGTCATAAAACATTGCGCCTGCGCAGAGAAATGAGCTTCCCACTGACGTTCATACGACCATTCCGGGACAACCCTCAGTCCTGCCCGTATGATTCCTACCAAATCTATCCCTGTGTATATTTCCACTTTGAAATGGCTTGACCCATGTCCCATTCCAGGGGCATTTTTATAACAAACGGAGGCATTTTGTAAGGATTTTTTTTGGTCAACCATGCCATTTTGTAAAAAGCGTGTTTTTGGGAAAAAGATTGCGGGGTTTCCCGGGGAAAGTTGGACATGTACAAGTAAGACATATTTCCAAACCAACCATTTATAAGACACAAACTTATAAGATGATTGGGTTTGGGGCCTGGAAATAAACTTGG